CCCGCCCCCGCCCAGGCCCAGGGGCAGGGGATGTTGCCTCCCTGCGCGGGGGGCGGGGGGGCCTGGAAAAGGAAACCCGAAAACCACTTGTGCCCAGAGAGCTGGCAGGATGATTCGGGCCAACCCTCGCCGCCCGATGTGCGCGACACTTTTCGCCGCGCGCCCATCCGACCCGACCTTCGCCCTCCCGCGTAAATCATTTTGTCGGCGCGCATCCGCCGATCTTCAAGGTCGACCCGCCCCGCGGTCTCGAAGAGCCCCCAGGCGCGAAAACCAGAGCAAACAATAGATCGATAGCAAACACAGGAGACGTCAATGTGTCCCACCCCTTCCCGACTCCTGTTCTGGACCCAAGCGCTCCCCGGGCTGCCCCAGGCGCGTCCGGACGCTCCAAGACTCACCCGGGCGCTGCAATCCTCTCCCGAGCGCTCCAAGGCTCGCCGTCGCCACCAGCAGCAACGGCATCCAAGTCCTCGCCTTTGTCGCCCTCGTCGCCGCGGGATGCCTCGAGGAACAGATCACTTCAGATCGCGTTGACGCGTGGACCACAAGCGGTTTTCACAATGGGGCTCTCGATTTGCTGGCGCCGCGCACCAGCGCATTACGCAGCTGAAGAACAGATAGAGGGCGGGCCATCTTCAAAGAGGGGCTCTCGCCCTGGCGCCGCGCAAATTCGGTTTCCAAAGTGTGCTTCGCCGCGCGAGGGGTCGGATAAGAGCCCCTTGGATAAGGAATCCAGGGTCTGGAGGCCCGTGGAACTCCGAGCGTGGACTGGCCATGGATGCCCCCGCCACCTTCATCAGATGAGGGGGGGCTCTAGGATCTGTCGCCTCTTGGGCGCATTTCTTGGCGAACGCCCCACCGCGTTGGGGTGCCATCTGGGTCTCGGGCGCACTCGCATGCAGCGTGAACGATCCTACCTTCACTTGACCTGTCCTCGAACCCTGCGACCTGTTGTGCAACTGCTAACACGGAACACGGATGGAGGGTGGCTCCTTTTTCGAAGGTGGATTCGCGTGCCACATCCGCGAAGCATGCGTGCGCGATTTTGACATGCTGCAACGTTTAGACGGATGGGCGGCGCATTCCTTCCAAAATGAGGCTAGCAGCCGGATTATCAGTAGGGCGGTGATGATGGAGGAAATAGGGGGCGGAAGAGCACATGAGAAACATCAGCAGCATGGTCAGGCGGAGGAAAGGGGGGGATGACGACGACGACGACGAGCACAACGAAAACGAGGGAGACGAAGAGTCAGCTGATTCGGTAGGCCACCAAGAGCACAAGGAACAGGATGATCATGAGGGGAGTCATCAGGAACATGATGGGGAGACTGAGGAGTAGCAACATCAGCATCAGTAGCAACGACAACAAGAGCTGGGACAGGAGCAAGACAGCATGTACCCGTACGAAAGACCCAATCATATGCAGTTGTGAGTAAGCGAAATGAGAATGGCCTTCGGTTGCGCTCCCTTGTGGGCATCGAATCTCGAGGGAGTCGTGCTCAGCCACGCGCAGAGGGGGTGGGGGGGGGGGGGGGGGGGCTCCTTAGAAGCACCCCTGCTTCTTAGAAGGCGCGGGCCTTATCTATAGATGTAAGGCCGGCGCCTTCTAAGAAGCAGCCTGCTTCTAAGAAGCCTTCCCCCCTCCCCCCACCCCCCTGTGCGCGCCGCCAACGTGCGCCGAGTGCATCCCCCCGTTGGGGCCTTCTCGGTGGAGCTCCCTACCGGGCCGCGACACGTGCGATGGCGTGCTAGAATGTGGCGGGCGGCGCTTGTGCACCCTCCCACTTTCGGCGGGGCTCCCCATGAGGCCAAGAAACGTGTGAAGGCGTGCCGAACTAGTGCGGGGGGACGCATGTGGACCTTCCCACTGGGGCATTAGGTGGATCGTTCAAGGCGGCCACAACGCGCGTGAGCGTGCGCCGAAATGGAGCAGCGGGCGCACGTGGGCCCTCCCGCTGGGGCCGTCCGCGGAACTCCTTTTTGGGCCACGAAACGCGCGAGGGATGCGCGGACGCGGGGCGGGGGGCGCGCGTGGGCCCGCCCCCCCCTCCCAGGGCCACGAAGCGCGCGTGGGTTGTGCCGAAATCGGCGGGGGTGCACGTGGGCCGCCCCGCTGACGGCCTTCGGTGGAGCGCCCAGCAGGGTCGCGAAGCGTGTGAGGTGCGAGGAATGCGCCGAGGTGGGGTGCCCCCGCCCCGCCCCTAAGCCCTTTGGCCGCAGCCGCCCGCCCGCCGCCGCCGACGTTGCCGCCACCGCCGCCGCCGCCGACCGCGCTCGCCGCCCGCGCTCGCCGCCCGCCGCCGCCACCCCCACCGCCGCCGCCAATTGCCGCCCCCGCTCGATTCAGAAAAGCGGATTGCCTCTGGCCGCTGGCGGCCTTGGCGCTTGCAAGTGCGGCCTTCAGCCGCGCGCGCGCGGGGCAAGGGCGGCGGGGCGCGGGCGGGGGTGCGAGAGCGAGACATCAAGCAACAGACACACGCGCCCGCGAACGCTCGCGCGAACCGCGACGCGGACTGTGAGGCGGTGGGGCGAATTGGGGCGCGCTGCGGAAAAGTGGCGGGGCGGTGGCGGCGGCGATCGAGGCGGCGGGGGCCGGGCGGGGGGGCGGGGAGGGGGGCAGGCGCCGCGGGGGGCGGGGGGCCGCGGGGGGCGGGGGGGGCGCAGGGGGGGGGCAGATTGGGAAACGCAGACCCGACGATTGCTGCCTCTGCGAACGCTGCTGTCGTACCAAATTGCAACATGCACCAGGGACTCGCTGGATTCTAGTCGAAATAATCTCTGGCCCTGGGGCCCAGGGCGGCCCTGGCGCTTCCGCAGTTGGCGTTGTTCAGTCAAGCGCGCGCGGGGCAAGGGGCGCAGGGGGGGGGAGAGAGAGAGAGAGAGAGAGAGAGAGAAGGAGAGAGAGAGAGAGGGAGATAGAGAGAGAGAGAGAGAGAAAATGAGAAAGGGAGAACGAGATGTAGTGATATATGTTATTCGTGTTCCTGTTGTTTTGGATTTTCCTTGTCTGGCAACCTTCATGCGCCGCGCTTCAATGTGCCGCGTCGCAACATCCCGTGCCAGTTCGGAAAATTACGCAGGGCGGGGGGGCGGCCGCGGGCGGGGGCGCCGGGGGCGGGTAGATTGCGGGAAAACAGCTTTTAAACGGCTGCCACCGATGAGGCTGCTACACAGAACTGCGACATGTGCATTAACGCATCGCCGCGATAAGGCATTACATGTGCTGGGGGGCACGGGCGGGCGTGCGCGTGAAATTGGTGGAGGGGTGGGGGTTGAGGGGGGGGCGAATTGTCGCCAGATCGGCGTGCTCGCGAGCGCTGAAGGCCGCCGCTGAGCAATGGTTTTCAACTTCCCCGCCAGTTGTCCGCAACTATGTTGGCAACTTGTTGTTCATTGTTTCGCATTTGTTTGTCAACATATTTTTCGACTTTCATGCAATCTGCCAACAACAAAACAGCGTATATACTGCGCCCGCTGAGATCAGCTCGATTGGCGCGTCTCAAACGCCGCCTGACGCGTGTTCCAATTTGGATTTCAGCTTTTTCCTTGCAGCTTTTACATGTGAAATCATGACACTTGGCCGGGCGGCGCGCTTGACAAAAAAAACGTAGGCAGAATCGTTGAGCAAAGCGTTGGTAATTTGGTTGGGTGGCCGCGGCGCACGGGGACGAGGCGCTTGCGTTTTTTGCCAGGTCGCTTGTCGCGGCGACAAAGAAAGCCGACGTCGGAACAAAAAAATACGATGGGAAGCGAAGGGGGCGAAGCAGCAGGAGAGGATGCGACCGTGTTGAAGTGAACCGATGAGAGACGGGCGGCGGGCGATGGGCGGTCGGTCGAGTAGACGAAGAAGAAGCGGGCTGGACGCGGCGAGGACGGGCAGGGACAGGGCGCGCGGGACGAAGGGAGCTGATTCTGGCAGAACGAGGTGGCCGACGAGGTTCTGGAGATCGCTCCGCGAGGGCCCAAATGCCAAGAGGCGCCCGAGCGCTTCCCAGAAGGGCCCACGGCGGCTTAAGAGAGGCCCTGGACGGCCTCGCGTGGCCCCATAGGCGCTCAAGAGAGGTCCCAGACGGCCCGCGAGGGCCCCGTGACGGCCCAACGGGGCTCCCGGGCCCCCGTGGGGCAGCCCGGGTGCCCCGCCGGGCTGTCGCCGGGCCCTCCTGGGGCCGCGCGGAGCCCTCTCTCGTGGGGTGTTTCTGGGGCCATCTGAGGCTGTCTTGGGCCTCTCCTGGGGCCGCCGCGGGCTCTTTTGGGTGCCCTGTGGGTCCTCTTGGAGCGACCTCGGGGGCCTCGTCGGCCGATTGGGTCTGGGGCGAGGAGGGGGTGATTCCAGCAGAAAGTCGCGGGAAACATCTGGGCGGGAGGAGACCGCATGAAGCAAGGGGGACAAACGCACCATGAAGGTACGAGATACTCTGGTCCAGAACCGAGAATGGGATGCCCTGGTCATGGGGTGAGCCCACTGGACGTACGCGGCCCGCAGTGGTCAGTAGTGTTCCTTGGTCCGCAGTGCAATTGGCAATGACGTTGTAGTCGGCGTCGTCTGTCTGCGGCTTGCTGTCGCGGCGAGCCAGCCCCCGCGGAGGAATGCTGCAACGGCAAGACTAGGAGAAAGGGGGCGGCGCTGCAACGGAGGGCGGCGCGATTACCGCTGGCGCGCAACGGTGGCACATACGATACGCAGTCGGTGGTGGCACGTTGGGCACACGCGCGCACTTCTAAGGTCCAAGATGGGCTCCACGAGCGACCCAAGAGTCCAAGAGGGGTCCAAGAGTCGATGTAAGATGTAAGGCGATGTGACAAAAGGCGCTCTCTAGCTCCGGCTGATTGAGGACCCCCCCCTTGATCGAGCTCCGAGATTGCTCCAAGATGGCGTCCTAGGCCTTAGGCTCCTAAGAGTATCCCAAGAGGGCCCCGCTAGAGGCGCCCAGGAGCCCCAAAGAAGCCCCCAACAGGCCCTCAGGAGGCCCCCAAAGGGATGCCGAAAGGGGGTCCGCAGCCGCTTTGACTCGAGCCGAATGCAGCAGCGCTCTCCTGGCTTAGGCGGATGCCTGGTCGTCACCAGCGACAGAGGGCATGAGGACCTCAGCCGCGGGCGTCGAGAGTACGAAGAGGCGCTGTAGCCATGCCAGTCTCTGCGCAAGGTTGTGGCACGGCCTGGGCGGCGTGGTGCACAGAGCGCTCGCAGTGCTGGTGGTCGTTCTATCTTTGAGCGTGGTTGTAGCCGCCATCGCGGGCGGTGGCAAAGGGACCCTCAAAGAGTGCGAGGACAAGGTGGACGCTTACGTGCGCATGGCGCATTTGGACGCCGCGGAGGCGGCAGAAGCGCACCGCGGCATCTTCTCCGTGCAGGTCGTGGCCATGGCGTTCACTGCGCCGACCGCGTTCAGCTTGCTCGCTTTCTCGGCCACGCGTCACATGTGCAGAGCTTCAGAGTACGCGGCCTGTCTGTGGTTGGATTCGGTTGTTGTCGCGGCGTACAGTTTGCTCCAATGCAACGGTCTGAACGGGGAGTTGTTCGCCATATTGAGTGCGAATCTGATCCCCCTGAGCATTGGACTATTCTGGTTGCTGCTACTGCGTCAGGTGAGGGCGTTGGAAAGAAGTTCGTTTCTTGATCTCGGCTCCCTGCGCCTTCGCCGGGTCATCGTGTACCTGGCAATCTTCGCCACGTGCGCTTTCATCTGCAGCAGGTTCGCGCGTGGGCCTTCAGGCCATCCCACGCGAATCGTAATGGGCATATTTGTCTGGATTGTGGTGCTACTGCAGGTGATGGGGATGGCCGTGTTCCTGCGCGCATGCTGGCTTGTGCTGGCGACGGTGCGCGAGGCCCGGTGGCGGGGGGTGTCCACCGAGGAGGTCAACAACGCTCCTCGGTTTCTGATATTCCAGATGGTGGGATCGTGCATGGGGATTGTGAGTTCCTTTTTTGGACAATTGACCAAGATGTACGCGTCGGACCTCTGTTGGCCAGTATTGGGGCGTCCCGTGGACGAGAGGACGCCCGGGTTCTTGATCGGTGTGCAGGTTGTCATTATGGTCGACACCATGTTCAACTCATTTGCCGCCCTGGCCCTCAGTGGAGCTTTCTTCGGGGCGCTCCGCGGAGGCTTATCCACGATGCGCTCGGAGCGCCAGCGTCACCGCATTTGGAAACGGTTCTCCCGGGAGTTCCCCACGGCGCAGGGACTACAGACCGATGAGGAATGGAACGCCAAAGTCGAAGAGTTGGCAGGCAGGGGCTTCACGCTGCAGGCGCTGCTGGAGTTTTATTCCAGGCTTGGCAAGGACGTGATGCCGCACTTCGATCCGTTGGTTCACACCACGGAGGACGTGGTCCGAGGCGCCATCATTCCGCTGTCGGCAGGCAGCCAATCATCTATGGCTGAAATCATGATGGACCACAGCTATGTAAAGCCTCAGAAGATGGTGACTCACAACTGGGGAAACATCTTTACCAACTTGGTTGCGGCTATTGTGTCAGATGCTCTCTCCGAGAGGGAGTACTGCAAGGTGGCTGCCCTGCTCATTCACAACGTCGACACCCTCATGAAGTGGGTTGCCCAGTCAAATGTTGGATCTCAAACGGTCTGGGTTTGCGCATTCTCGGTGAATCAGCACACCAGCATCTGCTCTGCAGATCCAGGTTCAAGGAGGGACTCAGTGACGGGCGAACGCTACACCCTCTGCTCGTGCGGCTTGTCCGAAGCGCTCAACACCACTACAAGTGCCCATCGCGCGCGCCAAAGTTTGGTGAGTGAGATCAATAAATTCGACCCAATGATGATGTTACTGTCAGCTGCAAACGACACGTTCGCCCAGGTGGTTGCAGTTGACAAGCGCTTTTACATTTTCAAGCGGGCTTGGTGCTTGGCCGAGGTTGCCGCCGCCCATTCAGCAGGCATGTCCCAGTCGCTGCAGTTGCCGTCCGTGGCCCACCTGGAGAAACATCAAGACGGACTCGCCGACCTGTCAATCAGCAGCGCACAGGCCAGCATGCCACAGGACAAGGAGGCGATCTTGGACCGCATCCCAGACCACGACGCATTCGACCGCAGGCTTCGAGACTTACTGTTAGGTCAGCTGCTCCCGTCTTGGTCGAGGCTCGACTCGAGCGAACAGATGCTCCAGGCGGGGCGAGTCGCTCGCTGGCAGAGTCTCGTGCAGAAACACCCCGCGGTAGACTGGCACTTCGAAGTGGATGATGCCATTCTTGGGCAGGAAGACTCGGCGCCGCGGCTTTAGCTGCAGGAATGCTGCGCGAAATCTCTTGCGGAGTGGGCCTTCAGCTGGCGGTTTTGTGACACGGCGCCAGCGAGAAGCAACTCCTTCTCGGTTTCGTCCTCCACATTCCCTCCTTCCGCTCTTGCCTTCGCCCTACCCCGCGCTCGGAGGAAGGGGGGTGTGACGCAGAGCATGCCCAGGGCGCAAACATGGTGCTGCATGCCGCCCTCCCCGAGAAGCGACGATGCTTCGGGGCGTTTCGGGGACGGGGCCGCGCTGTGGCCTCGCGGGCTCGTGCCACCTGGCAGCGGCCACGGCGGCGCGCGCTCGCGCCGCCGCCGCCTCCAGGCTACACGCACTTTTCGGTCCTCGCGGATGCCCGTTTTCAGTTGGCCCGCCAGCTCCTGCGTGCTGCCACCGTTGCGGGAGAAGCACTGACCGCAGGGCGCGGGAACGACCCGCGTAGTGCGGTAGAGCAGGCGCGAGGGAAGGAAGTAACACACGGCGGTCGCTTGCAAAAGCGACAGGTACGGACACGTATATCAACCAACGGCATCCTTGCTCCTTCGTTGACGGCGGCATGCAAAGTATTTGATCCGTTCACGTTCAAACTTGCAAGGGGCCAGAACCTGTTGCAAACAATTCGATAATGACGCGGCCAGCCAGCAGTCCGCGAACATGGAGGGGCTCTCTTTGTGGCGTCGTGGGCTGTTTTGGAGCCATATTTGAAGCCCCTTTGGGCCGTCGTCGGCGCTCGGGGGCCTGATTAGGCCTGATTGTGTTGCTGGAATTGGCTGGCTGTCGTCGAGCCTACAGACAGGTGGGCTTATCACGCTCCCAGGGCTCATGACGAATCAGCGCACATGCCTCACGACCTCGCTGTAAGGCGAGTGGGGCCGCAGCCTGGGTCGAATGCATAACGTCATTGGAGATGTCTGATTGCCAGCGCAGGGCCTGCCCCTCATTCCCCAATCAGTGCTTGCACTGAAGGGGTCCTAGCGGATATTGAAAGAGAAGGCGAATGTTTCACGCCGATTTCGGTGGGCGGCGAGATTCACAGGTTCCCAGGTCCCTGGTCGATCTTCTTATCGATCGGTCTCAGCATCGATCTCATTTCCCACCTCCCTATCTATCTCACCATCGATCTAACAACCGATCTCACAATTCATCTCGCAAGCGATCTCACTAGAAGTCGTACGAGCGATCTCGCGATCGATCTCCCTATCGATCTTATTGAATCCATTTCACTCTCGGTCTTACGATCGACCTTACAATCGTCAACTATCGATTCCACGATCGATCTCACAATCGATCTCAAGATCCATATGACTAATTTTCAAATCATCCACTGATTGGGTTTTCTCAGGTGTAATGCTGTTTTTGTTGTAGCGCGCTGCGCCCATTCATTCGGCGCCCTCGAGAGCGTAGCGGACAGTTTAGCAAATTCGGGTGCTGTTTTGCACGTTGTGGGCGTGGCTTGCAGAGGAGTCCTTCTCTGCTCACATAAGGTTTGGCCTCGGCGTCAGCTGTGGGTGCGAGGGTCCAAGCGGAGGTTGAAAGATTTGGCGAAAGTTTCCCGCCGATTTTGGTGGCAGGCTGGGTTCCCGGGTTCCCGGTTCCGGGTTCTGGGGTTCCCAGGTTTCTGGTTCCGGATTCCAGGCCGATTTCGGTGGGCGGCGGGGTTCCCAGGTTTTTGGTTTCTTGGTCGATCTTCTTATCGATCGATCTCGCCATCGCTCCCATTACCCATTTCTCTATCGATCTCAATGGACAATGGGCACCGCGACGTTGCTTAGATTCAGAACCGCCCGGAGAAAGATGCTACGCAGCATGTTCCGCGTGGCGAGAGGTGATGATGAAAGCTGGGTCGATTATATCAGACGTGCAACCGTACGAGTAGATGAGTATTGCAACAAGTATAACATCAAATATTGGGGCAGACTTCAGGCGGAGCGAAAATGAAATTATGCTACTCGAATCTTCCTGGACACCGAGGAGAAATGGAACACAAGACTGTTAGATTGGAAGCCTTGGTTCAGAACTGTAGCCAAACGCTCTGTCGGCAGGCCCAGCTTGAGATGGGGTGACGCGTTCCGTGCATGATAAGACAGTGATTTCTCTGATCTCATTATACACATAACGCCGCACCAGGCCCGGGGGCCCCGGGGCCGCAGCCTCGACCACAAATGGGGGGACGTCGGGCCCAGCCCGCTCCCCGGGGCCGCAGTCCCGACCACAAATGGGGGGACGTCGGGCCCAGCCCGTTCCCCGCCGGGCCCCAGGTCGGCCCCCGGAGCGCCCAGATGGCCGTCCAGGCGGCCCCAGGCCGCCCAGCGCCACCCTGAAGACAACCTATCCAGCGGTCTCCGGCGGCTCGAGAGGCGTCTCGAACCGCCCCAGACGCCTCCAAGACGCTCTAAGACCCCTCGAAGAGTTCCCCCCAGACGGCCCCGGGAAGCAAAAATGGCCCCGTTCCCTCCGTAAAACGTACATTCTTACCATATTCAATTGTTTGGCCTTCGTACCGTCCTTTACGACCTCAGACTCTCCCTAGACCGGAAGCCCAAAAGAGAGCCCCAGGACGGCCCCAGAGGGGCCCAGGACAGTCCAAGAGGCGCCCAGGACGGCCCAAACGCGTCCCTGAAGGGCCCCAAGAGGGGCCCAAGACGGGAATCCCAACTGAACCTTCCAGCCCCCCCGCCCCAAGAGGCCCCCAAGAGGCCCCTGAAAGACCCCCAAGAGGCCCGAAGAGGCCCCCAAGACGCCCGCGGCAGGCCCCAAAGGGCCTTCGGAGGCCCCCCACGAGGCTTCCAAGAGGCCCCCCGAGGTTCCCAGGAAGCCCCCAGGAGACCCCCAAGAGGCCCTCAGCGGGCTTCTGAGAGGCTTCCCCAGAAACCTTCATGCACGTCTACATGCGGCCTGGGCTAGAAGCTGAGCGCGCGCGAAGCGCGCGCGATGGTTCTAGTGAATGTAGGTGTGCCCACGGCGTGCCCACGGCGTGCTGCTGGCAGCCCCCCTCCCCTCCTCCTCCTCCTCCTCCTCCTCCTCCTCCTCCTCCTCCTCCTCCTCCTCCTCCTCCTCCTCCTCCTCCTCCTCTCGCTCTTCTTAGCCGGCAGGGTTTCTCTGACCGAAAACCTGCACACCGGAGGATTTATTAATCGCATTTTCCTGCGTGTTCGTGATCCATGGAGCGCTTGGAGCGTGCAGCGGATCGTGATCCATGGCACGCTTTGCTTGATCAGATTGTCAGATCTGAAGTTTCACAGAGCAGCGCTGCGTCGCGTGAGCGCTTTTCCCCAGTGGTTCGGGCTTTTGCCTGGCAGTGTTCAGTTCAACGCAGTTGAATCCATACGTCATTCGAGTAGTGTGGCTGAACCACTGATGCACTGTGGAGTACTAGCGGCCCCTGGCCGCTGGCCTTTCTGCTCGCCCCCCTCGTCCTCCTCCACTTCCGCATCCCCCTGTACCTCATCCTCCCTCCGCCCTCCTCGTTCCTCCTCGTTCCTCGTTCCTCCTCGTTCCCCCTCCGATAGCTCTTGTTGTCATATGCCTACGGCGGCGGTTCCTCGGGTGCGAGCTTGGCGGCCCTCTGAACTCGAAGTGTCTCACCTCCGCCCTGTTCGTGTGCCTGTGGCTGCTATACATGTTAGTGTCGACCCTGTCCAGCTAGCTCCCCGACCCGCAGCCCGAGACATGTACGTTTGCTTTTGAGATGTAGCACGTCATCGTTGCGGCTGCTGCTCCACGTGGGCAAAAAGACAGCTGGAAGGGTGACGAGAGAAAGGCAGCGTTCTATTATGCTCACGCTGACACGGGCCTTTTTATAATTCGCCGGCCCAACGGGCCAGAGGCGTGCTAAGATCTCCGGTAACTGGTTAACAATAATTCTAGTTCGCGCGCGCGGGGCGGCCCCTGGGGGTCCCCCGGCGAAAACTACCCCGACCGCAGCCCGGGAACTATTACTCAGAGATGGTTTCCCTCCTGGGTGCGGCCTTCCACGCCCCCTGGAGCGCGCCAAGAGGGCCAAAAGAGGCCCCCAAGACGGTCCAAGAGGGCTCCGAATCACCGAACGATCGGCTCAAGACGCCCAACACGGCGTCAAGACGGCCCAAGAGGCCTCCAAGACGTCCCAAGAGAGCCCCGACCCTTCCCAAGAGAGCCCCAAGAGGCAAAAATCAATGATTTCCCCGGGGTTTTTGAAGGTTTTTGGCTTCCTCGCCTTTTCGCCTTTCCGACGCTCCAAGACGGCCCAAGAGGCCCCCAAGACCACCCCAAGACGGCCCAAGAGGCCTCCAAGAGAGCCCCAAGACCGCCCTGCTCTACAGGCTCTCCCTCTTTTTAACTTGAGTTTGAAGTTTCGCTCGTCGCGAGTCGCGAGGAAGCTTCGCTCCATTTTCTATTTCAGCCAAGTTCAGCCTTCTCATCGTCCTCCCCCCCTCCTCTTCCTCTCCGTCTGCTCCTCCTGCTTCTCCTCTTCTCTCCTTCGTTTCTGGAGCCTCGCCACCTTGGAGGGAGGAGGGGGGCTGTGTGTGCGTGAGCGTGTGTGTGAGGGCGGGGACGGGGGAAAATCTTCGAAGAAATGGGCCCGTCCAGGCAGGCAGCTTCTGCCTCGAGACGAGTCCCTGTGGCGGTCCCTTCAATTGGACCCCATGCCAATTCGAGTTTCTCCTTGCATTTCCGGCAAGCCTGTGCACCCCACGCACGTGCTGTGGCGTAAGGCCTCCTTTTACTTTTGTGGCGAGTGCGGGTCTTGGGCCAACAGATCTCCCAGTGCTTTCTTGAGGGGTCCGTGCCCTGCCGTCACGCTCGGACCGCATGCTGTAACCAAGGCGCAGTTGGAAGTCTTGCAGAGGATGTTTAAAGGCCTTCCTCCAGCCAAGACCGTCGCATCTTGGGCTGATGCTTAAATTTTCTTCCCTAGCGGCCAGTCCCTGGCAGGTTCTCTTCCCTTGGAGCCTGGGTGTTAGCGGTGCACTGTAAAAAAAAACTCCTTCGTTTCTGGCGCGCGGCAGCATGCAGGAGGCGGTGTGCTCGCGATGCATGTGACCTCGGTAGGTTCATGTCAGAGCCAAACGTGGGTACACACCCTTTGCTCTAAACTGCACATGCGCCAGCGTCTTTTGAGACCAACAAAAAAAGAGAGCCCCAAGACCGCCCAAGAGGGCCCCAAGACAGCCTAAAAGGCGCCCAAGAGGGCCCCAAGAGGGGCCCAAGATGGAGACCACGAGCCGAAAATCCGAGCCTTCCGCTCCAAGAGGCCTCGAGGACGCCCCAAGAGGCCCCCAATAGGCCCCAAGAGGCGCCTAGAGGCCCGACAAAGACCCTAAAAGGCTCCAACACGGAGCCCCAAAATACAACAATCAGTGATTCTCTTAGGTTTTTGAAGGTTTTTGGCTTCCTCGCCTTTTCACCTTCCCGACGCTCCAAGACGGCCCAAGAGGCCCCCAAGAAGCCCCCAAGACCACCCCAAGACGGCCCAGGAGGCCCCCAAGAGAGCCCCAAGACCGCCCAAGGGGGCTTCAAGACAGCCCAAAAGGCGCCCACGAGGGCACAAGAGGGCCCCAAGAGGAGCCCAATATGGAGACCACGAACGGACAATTCGAGCCTTCCGCTCCAAGAGGCATCCAGGACGCCCCAAGAGGCCCCCAAGAGGCCCCACGAGGCGCCAAGAGAGGTCCGAAAGAGACCCCAAAACGCTGAACAACGGAGCCCCAAGATACAACAATCAGTGATTCTCTTAGGTTTTTGAATGTTTTTGGCTTCCTCGCCGTTTCACCTTCCCGACGCTCCAAGACGGCCCAAGAGGCCCCCAAGAGCGCCCCAAGACGGCCCACGAGGCCTCCAAGTAGGCCCCAAGACGGCCCAAAAAGGCCCCGAGACGGCCCAAGAGGCACCAAGACGGCCCAAGAGAGGGACCACGAACCGAAAACTTGAGCTTTCTGCCCCAAGATGGCCCCAGGACGCCCCGAGAGGCCCCCAAGAGGCCCAAGATGCCGCCAAGAGGCCCCCAGGA